CCAATGTACTCAACTCTAATATGAAGACAAAGATGACCTAATACATGGTGGGGGGCAGCGGAATGAAGGAGCAGGGAGGGGAGGAGAGGGGAGTGGGATGTTAAGGTGTATGACACACCTCTGGGGGGCAGGACGCAGTTAAAAGAAGGACTTTACCTAACAAATGGAATCAGTATAACCTAATTCTTTGTACCCTCCACGAATCCCAAACAATAAAAAAAAAAAAGATACCAAATAACTAAAACAAATATCTGATTTTCATTATAATTTGTTGTTTAATCAATAAATACATTTCTTAATTTCTGAACGTGTAGAGATTTTCTATTTTATAATTATTGGTTTCTAGCTGAATGGCACATGGCCAAAGAATACACTCCTTTTATGACCCGGATGATGGTCAATTTTGGTAAATATTCCATGTACATTTGAGAAGTGTATAGTATTATGTTCTATAATACCTAACAATATATGTTAGGAACATACATTGGAACATATATATGGAACATATATTGTTCCATATATACCAATTAAATTTGAAAATCTTACTCTTGTCTTCATATATGTACTTATTTGTGTATGTTTTCTATCAGTTACTAAGCTATGTATGTTAAAATCTACTATGAATGCAGGCTTGTCTTTTCTCCTTTTCTGTTCATTTTTGCTTAAATATTTGAGGCTATATTATTAGATCATAAAAAACTAGAACTATTATACTTTTTTGGTGAATGAATTCTCTTATTAAGTGTCTCTCTTTATAATACTTTTTACCTTAAGGTCTACATTGAATAATGTTGCTATAGCTACAAAAGTCCTCCTACCCATTTTTTTCTTTTTTTCTTTTTTTTTGTACAACTCTTTCTCTTCTTTTACTTATACCCTTCTATATCATTATGTTGAAGGTATATCTCTTATAAAAGGTACTTTGTGGATTTTGTTTCTTTTTAGTTTGATATTATCTGCATTTAGTTGAAGCATTCAGTTCTTTCACCATTAATATTTAGATTTAAATCTCCTATTTGATTTCCATTTGTCCTGTTTTATATTATTTTTTAGCCTTATTTTTCTCCATTTCCCCTCTTAGCAGTGATACATGCTTTTTTTTTTTTTTTTTTTTTGGCTATTCTTTTAGTAGTTACCTTATAGATAACACAGTGAAGTCAAATATTACTTGGTGTTTTTAACTTTTTTCTGATAGTCAAGAACCTTAGAATTCCTACACCAATTATGTATTTTAGCATTATCACTAAAACTATTTTACATAATCAATCTATATTTAGACTTAACCATATGTTTACCTTTTTATAAAATTAGTGTTTGTTCCTTTATCCTTAAGCTTTTTATCTGGAATCTTTTTCTTTTCTTTTTTTTGAGACAAGCCTCAAGCTGTCACCTTGGGTAAAGTGCTGTGGCATCACAGCTCACAGCAACCTCCAACTCCTGGGTTCAAGCGAGTCTCCTGCCTCTGCCTCCCAAGTAGCTGGGACTACAGGCGCCTGCCACAACACTTGGCTGTTTTTTGGTTGCAGCTGTCATTGTTGTTTGGCAGGCCCGGGCTGGATTTGAACCCACCAGCTCAGGTGTATGTGGCTGGCGCCTTAGCCACTTGAGCCACAGGCACCCAGCCTATCTGGAATCATTTTCATTCTGTTTGAAGAGTACTCTTCACTCTTTTAATGGGAATCTGCTATTGGATTTACAGTGTTTAAAATATCTTTGCCTTCATTCTTGAAGAATTGTTTTTGAGGAAAGGTTGGGTATTGCATTCTAAATTTGCAGTGATTTTCTTTCAGCAACCTGAAAGTTCATTCTGTTGATTTCTGGTTGCTGTATTTTCTGTTGAGAAGTTAGCTGTCAGTTTTAAAAAAATGGTTGGTTCTTTAAAATTAATGTCTTTTATGTCTTTCTGGCTATAATGATTTCCTCTTTGTGTTTTAGTTTTTCTCATGACGTACTGACATGTAGTTTTGTTTTTATTTATCTTGCTTGAATCTTGCAGGGTCTAATATCCCTAAAAAGTTTGGAAAAATCTGTTATCATCTCAAGTGTTCTCTGCCACATTCTTTCTCTCCTTCCAGTATTTCAATTACAGCCTGTTTTTATCGTCTCATGTTAATACCATGTCTTTTATCTTAAGTGTATCTATCTTCCACCTATTTTGTCCCTTCATTTTTCACATCAGATGTTTGCTTCTGAACTAACTTCTTGTTCACTAACTCTTACTTCAGCTTATCCAGTTGCTATTGAATCCGTTCACTGAGTTCTTGATTATTGTATTTTCCGTTTGGGATTGCCAATTGATTCTTTAATGGAGTTTCTGGTTGAATTCTCAATCTCTTGTTTTAGATTTTTACATCTACTAAATGTAATAATTTTAGAGCCTCTCTCTAGTAAGACAGAGGGGATTCATTATAGGGGTCCCTGTGGGCCTGCTTCTAGTGTCTGTTACAGCTTCTCGGGGATTTTGATGTCTTGTTTCCTCAGATGCCTTTTAACTGTCCAACATTAAATATGAACAACTATACAAATAAAAGATTGGTCTAGAGAAGACTTACATTTGCTCTGGGTAGTGGCTAGGTACAACAGAAATCCAGGGTCACCTTCTAGTTTTGGAAAGTGAGAAGATTCAAACCACATTTATTTTTTTGTGCATCTTTAAAAATATGAGGTAGTTCTTGAGGTTCACTACTCAATGTGTGGTCAGGGTTCTCTCACCACTCAACTTTCGTAAAGAGTCCTGAACTCCAGTTTTTGTCTTTCTAACTTGGAGTAGCGCTGGCAAAAGGGCTACTTTAGCTTCCCAGACTCTCAACCACTTTTTGCCTGAATTAGCATGTACCAAGAAGAAAAGAAAAGCCCAAATGTAAACTCAGCTCTATCATTCTGCCTTGGATCTTGGTGATGTGATTCTTCACACTGCCTCCTGATTCTCTAATGCCTTTAAGCAGACTTAAAAATACTATTTTGCCAGTTTTCCTAGTTCTTCATTAAACAGTTGCTGTAAATTACTTATGTGTTACTATTAGAAGTAGAAGAGTAGTTTTTAGGGGAAACACAGTTAAGTTCAGTTTTTAATATATCAAGTGGAAATATCAAGTAAGTTAAAGAGATAGATAGCTTCAGCATAAGAAGACAGGCTGTTAGGTACTTATATCTGATCATCATCAACATATTGATATTTTAAGTCCTGAGAGATGTGACTATCTATGGTGAACTGACTAGAAGAGGGGGGTGGGGATGTAGAGGTCAGGCAGAAGAGGAAAAGCAGCAATGATGACTGAGGAGATGATAGGATGATAAGAAGAAAATAAAGCAGTGTGATGTCAGGAAAGCCCAAAGGAAAAACAAAAGGAGATTTGAAGAGTGGTCAAATGTGCCCAGTGGTATTTAGAGGACAAGTACGAAAAGGACATAAAAGTGACCAGCTGGTGGCTTGGCACCTGTAGCACAGTGGTTACAGCATCAGGCACGTACCCTGAGGCTGGTGGGTTCGAAGCCAGCCTGGGCCAGCTAGACAACAATGACAACTGCAACAAAAAATTGCCCTAGTCTTGTGGCAGGTACCTGTAGTCCCAGCTACTGGGAAGTTGAGGCAAGAGAGTCGCTTAAGTCCAGGAGTTAGTGGTTGCTGTGAGCTGTGATGCCATAGTACTCTACCAAGGGTGACATAGTGAAACTCTGTTTCCAAAAAAAAAAAAAGTGACCAGCTGGTTTGACAATATGAAGAAGGTCAATTGTGACCTTAGTAATTTTTTTTTTTTTAACTTTAAAGAATAGTAGAAAGATAGATTCCAGACTGGAATGGTTTGATAAGTGAATGAAAGAGGAAACTTGGCTATGAATGAAATATGAGAGCAGTTTGAGGAGGATGTAAAGTTAAGGGAAAGCATGGCTTGACATTATTATATAGTGAGTATCTCTAAACGACTTCAAATTACCATTATTTGGGAGGATAGTCCAATAAATCATGTCAATGGAATGTTATGAAGTCACTAAAAATTGATAATTAGAACATATTTTTAATGACACAAGAAAAATTTCCTACATGAGAAAAAAGATATAAAACTGTAGCTACTACATAGCAATTATTGAAATCACAAACCTGAAATCTGAACTCAGATATAAAACTATCTTAATAAGTATACTACACTGCCTCTTCCCCAAAGGATTAACATACAAATATCATTGATTTCTTAACTGATACTTAGTCCCTAGTGTTATCCTTTAATACTGGTGGAGTGAAATGGTCTACATACTAAATGGAGGGATAATAAAAATCTAATTGGTACATTTCAAATAATTTCAGTCATTTTTGAAGAGAATGCATTAGTGTATTACCAATCTAGGGGGCTCCGACAGATTTAGCTGGAAATTAAGGAGCAGAAGAAATTTATCTTCCAACTGATGGAGATTCATTACTCATCCCACTTGTATGTACCTGTAAAAAGTTCCCACGTAGGAATGGAATGAAAATAAAATTCTGATCACATTATAAAAATTTTCCTCCCATCACCTTCTGACTTTAGTTCTTATACCTTAAGACAGTAGTAGCTGATAGTCTTGAGGGTAAATTATTCTTTAGAAACAGTATATTCAGTTGAAAGAAATGCAGAATGAATCAAGTTTATGGAATAGCCTCTAGTACTCACACTCATTATCCTAACTTTGCTCTTCCTGTGAGTATTCACATGATAAATGGGATGAACCTTGCTCCTTTCATATATATCAAAAACATGTTTGGAAAGGAGGGAAAAGATTTCATTAAAAATGTTTAAGGTGTCTGAATTAAGTATATGAAAATAAATGTTGCCATTGTTAAATGTTAAAACAAAACAGCACATTTGAAAATACCATAAAAATTAATTACATTTCAAATAAATATATATACATTAGCTTTCAATAGGATCCATTATCATTAAAACATGGACATATGTATCTTTTTAGTATGTAAAAATTACACAGCTGTTGACTTTTGTAAGGTAACTCACTTATCACACATTTAAGAAGGCATTAAAAATCATTGTTTAATATTATACAAATGTTTTATCATATTTCCCAAAGCATATTACAATCCAGAGGGCACAAATATTGGCCAACTAGTTCTAACTTTCACATTAGACAAAGATGTCATTTAAACCATTAAGATGGCAAAAAGAATCAATTTTAAGGAGCTTAGCTCTTCTCAGGCATTTGAAGGGGTTAGGGAAAAGTCCATTTAAGTCATAGGAATCACACTGCTAACTTTTGTACAATGAAAAATATAAACACCTCATTTGATGACATTATATCACAAGTCAAAACAGGCTCTAATACAGATGTATGTGGAGAGGTTTTGAAGAATAAATTGGATATCCGAGCGGAGGATCTGCTGCTTGTATAGTAAGGTTTCTTAAAAGTAGTGGATGAGCTTGTATACTGTAACGTTCCTCATCATCATTTGTGGCATAAAGCAGTTCCCATGAGAGATTGGCCCACTGACCTCTAACAGCTTCAGCATTTAACTTTCCAACGTATATCAATAATTCTTGAAGGGTAAGTACTCTTCCAGTGTAAACTCCCTTTTATAGTATGAAAAGACAGGAGGGGAGATAAAAGAGATTACATTAAGGCCTTTATTTTACAAATTTAAAGAAAAATATCATTGCATTTAGGAAAACTTTCTCCCAAGATGAAAACTCAAATTCAGAGTCAAAACCCACCTTTATTTCCTTAGGTTTTTGAATAAGTACCACAAGAAATACTCTCTGGCATCCATTCTGCTTAATCACCCAAACAGCAAAATCTACTTACTGTTCATTTTCCTTCTCTGATCCCTCACCTCAGCAATGCATAAATCATAAATCTAGTCAGTGGAGAATCATACAATAAGCTCTTTTTAATAAACAGCTTTATTGAGATATAATTCACATTCCATATAATTTATTCATTTAATGTGTACATTTCAGTGTTTTTTCGAATATTTGCAGATATGTGCACCTATTACTAAAGTTAATTTTATTTATTTTATTAAATCATAGCTGTGTACATTAATGCAATCATGGGGTACAATGTGCTAGTTTTATATACAATTTGAAATATTTTCATCAAACTAGTTAAATCAAAGTTAATTTTAGAACATTACCATGACCTCAAAAAGAATCCTTACTCTTTAGCCATCACAGTCCTATCCTCTTATTCTCCCTGCCTGAAACAACAACTACTGTGCTTTTTATCTCTATAAATTTGCTTATTCTGGAAATTCCACATGAAATTATTCATATATGTGGTCTCTTATGACTGGTTTCTTTCACTTAGCATCTGTGTTGCAGCATGTATCAGTACTTTATTCCTTTTTATGGATGAATAATATTCCACTATATGGACATACTAAAATTTGTTTATCCATTCATCAGTTGGTATACAGCTGGGTTGTTTCCACCTTTTAGCAATTATGAATAATGCTGCTATAAATATCCATGTGCAAGTTTTTGCAGTTTTTTGGCTGGGGCCGGGTTTGAAACCACCACCTCTGGTATATGGGGCCAGCCCCTACTCCTTGAGCCACAGGCGCTGCCCCATGTACAAGTTTTTATGTGGATCTGTTTTCATTTCTTTTGGGAGGAATATGAGATCAGGGTGCAGCATGGTCAAGTTCTGATGAGGGATATCTTCCTGGCTTGTGGATAGCTATCTTCTTGTTCTGTCCTATGCCAGAGATATAGGAAGTTCTGTATCTCTTCCTCTTCTTTTAACAGCATAAATCCCCTCATGGAGCTCTACCCTCATGTTCTCATCTAAGCCTACATACTTCTCAAAGGCCCCATCTGTCAATAACATCACATTGGGGTTTAGGAATTCAACATATAAATTTGAGGGGGATGTAAACATTCAGTTCATTAAACCTGGCTAGTAACATCTAGTACAACGTTCAGTAACAGTGGGAAGAGCGGATATCCTTGTCCTCCTGATCTTAGCATCTAGTCTTTCATCAATAATTATGACATTAGCTATGGAATTTTCACAGATGCTCCAGTTGAAGATGTTTTTTTCTATTCCCAGCTGTCTTTATTATGGTTTTTCTGTGTCTATTGAGATGATGTGTTTTTTTGTTTCTTTATTCTCCTGAGATAGTATGTTAATTTATTTTTGTATGTTAAACCAACCTTGCATTCTACTTGATTGTGGTGTATGATTCTTTTCGTAGGATGTAAAACTTAGAAATTGTTTATTTCTGGAATATTCTATTTGATGTTTTTGGACCATAGTTGACTATGGGCTAAAAAAAAGGTTACTAGAGATTAGAAACTGTAGAAAGCAAAACTACAGATAGGAAGTCACTACTGTATTTTGTGATTTCTCCTTTCTTTTCTTTGACCCATTTATCACTTAGGAGTATTTTGTTTAATTTCCACATGTCTGTAGATTTGCTAATTTTCTTTTAATAATTTCTAGTTTCATTTCATTGTGGTTAGGGGACATACTTTGTATTCTATCAATCCTTTTAAATTTATTGAAATTTTATGTCCTAGTATATAATTCATCCTGGAGAATGTTCCATGTGCATTTGAAAAGAATGTGTATGGTGTTGTTGCATGGAGTATTCTGTAGATGCCTCTTAGGTATAGCTGGTTTGTAGTGTTGTTCAAATCTTCTATTTCACTGTCGATCAGCCTAGTTGTTCCATCCGTGATCTAAAGTAGGATATTGAAGTCTCCAGCTATTATTGTTGAAATGTCTATTTCTCTATTTTTGTCAGTTTTTTCTTCATGTATTTTGTTCTTCTGTTGTTAGCTATATATAGAACTGTTTTATCTTCGATGGACTGATCCTTTTAACATTATAAAATGTCCTTAATCTCCAGTAACTTTTGTTTTAAGTCTATTTTTGTTATTAATATAGGTACTCCAGCTTTCTTGTGGGTGCTGATCGCATAATATATCTTTCTCAATTCTTATATTTTCAGTTTTCTTTTGTCTTTGAATCCACAGTGTGTTTTCTATACAGTGTATATAGTTGGATCTTTAATTCCAGTCTGACAATCTCTTCCTTTTATTTAGATTAATCACCCCCATTTAATGTTATTATTTAGTTGAATTTTGTCTATCATTTTCCTTTTTGTCTTCTATGTCTAAAGTCTTTTTTATCCTTCTATTTTTCCTTTACTTTCTTTTGCATTGACTATTCTGTAACACAGCATTTTCATATCTTTAATGATGGCTTTCACTTTTTTCCCCCACTTAGTTCCTCACTGGTTACCTAAAGCTTATCAAATCTGTCTCATCAGAGGCAGATGCAGAATTATACCAACTTAATTCTGATGAGACATAGAAATGTTATTCTTATAAAGTTTTATTCCCTTTTCCTCCTTTTTTTGTGTTATTGTTTCATATATGTTACATCACAAATGTTACAAACCCAAAATTCATTATTATTAATACTTTATATAATTTTATGACTTAAAGAAGTTGGGGGAAAAGGGAACAAGTATGTATTTATTGCTCTCTGGAATTAACTTTTTTTTTTTTTATAATTTTTGGTTCTCTTCCTTTATTCCTATAGATCCATGTTATCATCTGGAGTCATTTCTTTTTTTCTAGTACAGTTTTGCCACCAATGGCCTCCTTTGTGCAAATATTGGCAAATATATTACATTTCTATATGTTATAGGCTCCCAAATACCTTATATATTGTTTTATACAACTGCATTTCAGATCACCTAAGAAATATACATTTATACTGCTTTTATAATTATAGTCACCTTTACTGGTGCTATTTGGTTTTTGGTGTAGATTCAAATTATTGTCTGCTATTTCATTTAAGGTTCTGGCAGCAACAAATTCTCTCAGGTTATTTTACCTGGGAATACCGTTGTTTTCATTTTTGAAAGAATGCTTTGCTAGATATATAATTCTTGGTCAACCATTTTGTTGTTATTTTTGCACACTTTGAAAATGTCATTATATGCTCCATTGTTTCTGACAGTTAGCTATAATCTTTTCTGTTTCCTTAAAATTTACAAGTCATTTTTGAAGCAGTAATTGCTTCTTGGGTTTTTGGCTTTCAGTATTTTTACTATGATGTGTTTGCCTGTCGATTTCTCTCCATTAATCCTACTGAAAGGTCACTGAACTTTTGGGATGTATAGATAAATGTTTTCAATACATTTGAGAAGTTTTCAGCTTTTATTTCTTCAACTAATTTTTTTTTCTCCTTTTCCATTCTCCCCTCTTCTTCTGGTATTCATTCTATGTATGTCAGTGCTGTTAATGGAGTCCTGGATTTCTCTGGGGCTCTCTTAATTTTCCTTCTTTTCTCTCTCACTATATATTTAGATTACATAATCTCTATTGATATACAATCTACACATTTCTGATTCTTTCTTCTGAAATTTCAAATTACTGTTGAGCCCCTCTAAGTGAATTTTTCACTTGGTTCTTTTTTATACCTTCTATCTCTATTGACATTTTCTATTTGATGTGACATTGTCATCATATGTTCCTTTGTTTCTTTAATTATGGTTTCATTTAGTTCTTTGAACATATTTATACTGGCTACTTTGAAAACTTTGTTAAATCTGATGTCTGGTCACTCCCACAGACAATTTGTTGTCTTCTTTTTACCCTAGTGGTTATATTTTTCCTTGTACATCTCATACTTTTTGTTGAAAATTGGACATTTTAGTAACACTGTAGAAACTGTGGGTACTGGTTCTCCCCATACCCTACCTTAGGGCTTGTTATTGTTATATGCTTGATTGTTAAATAAATGGATGGATTACTTTAGTGAAGTCAATACCAGAGTTCTCCATAGGCCTTGTCCTGTTTAAAATCTCAGATATTGCCCTTCAAGGAATGAAGCCGTGTGAATGCCCACAGTTACCTTGTCAGGGCTATCTTGTCTGTTAAGTGTTCCACAACCAGATGTTAAACTCCAGTGATTGTCAGCTGGTTGTTCTAGGTTAGTAACTTTCAACTGGTGTACCATGAGAGGATCTCAGGTGTGCTGTGAAAAATTTTAAAGATCATTAATGAAATTTTTTTTAAAAGAAGTTCAAATCACAGTAGGTATTTCTTACTCTTTTATTTATTTATTTGTTTGATCAATATAATTTAAGTGTGCTCCAAAGTTTAACTATAGGTTCAAGTGTGGTGTGAGATTAAAAAAAGGTTGAAAAATGTGGCTCTTATGTTTTCAACAATGGCCTGGAGCATAAATTGATCCAATTACTGATCCAATTACATTTGGGGTCCTTAGGTGGTGCCTGTGGCTCAATGAGTAGGGTGCCTGCCTCATATACTGAGGGTAGGGGGTTTGAACTCAGCCCCAGCAAAACTACAACAACAACAAAATAAAAAATAAATAAAAAATAAATTTGGGCTCCTTCAAAGGCATAGCTTTTGAAGTCAACCTCTGAGATTTGTTCTGACTTCTGAAGGGTTCTTTTCTGCTATTTTTTTCCCCCTGGTTTTCTCTGTTAATCTAGCCAGTTTATAGTTTAAGTTATATCTCCAATGAGTGGCCCAATCTCCTTGTAATTACTTTTTGCCATACCTTCCACAGTTTTTGAGAGCAATCTTAAGCTTTGCTGTGTACACATTCTGTTGCAAATGAATCCATTCCTTTTAGAACAGATTTGAAAAAGAATTTTTTTTTAAATGATATGATTCTCCAGTTGGGCAAAATCTTTGAGCTAGAGTTCTAGATCTGATAGGTGGGATAACAGCATGCTTCTCACTGAGTGAAACTTCTGCTTTAGGAGATAACTGCTTGGTGAGGGGAGGAGTATCCTCAAATCTTTTCAGCGTTCCTCTCCCAGCATAGAAATATCTTATAAATGGGCAAGGGTGATTAGGGTCTCTGTATTCTCAGTGGCACTTTGCCCAAGATACAGCCGTCATTCCATGAGTATAATTGGTCAGAGGGTGTTCTCACTTCTCATTTACATGTCTGGAATCTAGCCTGAGCAACAGGTAGCTGGGGGGACAGAATGACTCCTGTCCTTCCTGAAAAAACAATGACCCAACTAAGAGTGAGTCTCATGTTATTGGTTATACCACTTTGGAGTTTCCCATCTTGCTAAGTAGGTCTTGGCTCAAATATTGCAGTCTCTTTTTGTTCTTCTGAGTTTTAGTAGATTTTCTTGAATAAATGTTTCATTTGCTGTATGCCTTTAAGACCATTTCCAAGGTTTAAATGACTACTTATTGTTATTATTTTTTGTTTATTTTTATCAGTTAAGTTTTCCATTTATATGGACACAATTTGTGGCACCCCAAAACAATTACAATAACATTAAAGATTGCTGAGCACGATAACCATAGGTGATATAATAATGAAAAGTTTTGAAATATTGTGAGAATTACCAAAATATGACACAAACACATGAAGTAAGCATATGTTGTGACAAACTTTTTTAAAAAATAATTTTTTCATCACTTTTCTTAGGGAGTACATTTGTAGAGCTCTTCAAACTATAATGTGAAACAGACCTAGAACCCACAACAGGCTTGTAACATTGAATCTTTCATATTGTATACCTGGCTTACATTTTCAATGAAATAAGAATAAGTACTAAATCTTTAGAAATGGCATCACCTATCTTAAGTCTCTCTTTGGATTTTCACAGGTTATATTTGCTTTAATAAAGTACAGATGTCAGCAAAAGAAGTACTTTAGCACTTACAAATTAATTTCTCTTCTAGAAATCAAATCCAGAGTCATAATTCATACACATCATAGTTCATACACTTAAATTGGGCATAGGAATACAATCCATTTAGTCAAATATGCTATAGCAAGTTACACAGGTGTGGGTTTCTTACAGGTCAGTTATTGTACAATGGCTACATAATGGTTTTAATTGACTCCTATTCAGTTGGCAAAAGTAAATGTTAAAGTAAAAAACAAAAAGTAAAAAGCTATTCTGGAGTTGGACTATCTTGGCCATAAAGTCACAATTATAAAATGCCTTAATTAACTATAATTAATATATCAACCAGAATGTTCTATGATTTATCACCTAGTTCAAATACTTCATAACTTATTTCTATTCTTTAAGGTTGGTAGATGAAAATGATAAATACATTTTTAACCTTACCATAGAAGGATCATACCCCAGAGAAAACAAGTATGGTTTTTCTTGTAAAACTGCTTCATTCCACTTTTCATCAGATACCAAACCAATGTACCAGTCACTTTCATATTTTTCAAGGCAGTTAATCAGCTCCTTAAAGTCTTCTATTGGACCTAAACTTGCTTTATCAATCATAAGTTTCAGAGTATACCTATAAAATGGAGAAGCAAAGAATTTTAGAGTTTTTATCAGCTTTATAGATGAAACAGACTTTGTTCAATAAATTTTTAACATAAATAATTTTTAACAAAATTATACATAATTCCGGTAAAATGCTGAGGGAGAATGATGAAGTTACAGTGGGCAAATCCAGTAAGTCATATGAAAAACAGGTTTTACATATAAACAAGTGAACTCCTAATATAATCTCAATACATACTAAGCACTTCTTTCATTTTTAAGAAAGTAATGTAAAAAAAATCAGAAATGGACTACCTTCTTCTAGATCAGCGGTTCTCAACCTGTGAGTTGTGATCCACAGGAACTGTATTAAAGGGCCATGGCATTAGGAAGGTTGAGAACCACTGTTTTAGGTGATTAAAACAAAAATCAACATTTTCCTGCCAATTTTACAACCTATACATAATCAAAATGAGTTACCTGAATGCTTTCAGTGCTAGTTGGAATAGTTCTGGTTTTTCTGTGAGCCAATCCAAGGTAACAGACCAAGGTAAAACACCACTGTAAACACTTAATATAAGACCAGGACTAGGCGTCATATTGTCTATTCCAAGTAAACTAAAATAACAAGTCATTATGGTATGAATATAAAAATCTCTTAAAGTTTTGTCCTTTGTAATTTCTTCTAGTACATTTGAGGCCTTTTCTGTTGAATGAAAACATTCCAACTGCCTTAAAACAAATTGGTACCAGTCTTCTGGAAATAATGAGCTCATCTCCTTCACTTTGGAATTAGGCATACAGGTAGATCTCCACTCTTTAGGTAAGCTTATTAAGTGAGACTGTGAACAGCTGAACTCCATGAGAGGAATATATGCCATGTCTCCTTGTTTTCCTTTGTCGACAGCAGGGTATCCTAATTTAATTGCCTTGTAGCAACTATGCTCAGGATCTGTGCCTGTACAATGATCATCAACTTGCTGTGATTCTACGACTGATCCTGGAATAGGCAAATTTGTACATGGAAAATCTTTCAACTGATCTTTTTCTTCTTTTTCTTTTTCGATAGTTGGCGTATCATCAAAAATACTATCTTCAGACCAGTCATCAAAAGTTTCTGAACGTACACTATCTAAATCTTCTAGGGACTGGGGATGAGGTGAAGTATTCAAAGCAGGCAATATTGTTAGGGGTTCTTTCCCTTTATTTTCAGTTTCGTGAACATCCTCCTGCATGGTAGGCCTTTTGGAGCAATATTGAATGAGTATCCATACAAGTACTTTAACAAGGTCACCTTTAAATTCTATTAAGTTTTCATGAGAATCAATTATGCCAGATAGAACATTCCTGGCATCAGAATATAATTTCACAGGCAAAACAGTACAGGGTGTCAAGATATTTCCAAAGTGTTCATTAAAGGAACATATTTTTGTGTATTCTTCTTGTTCAAAAGCACTCTCAAAAACTTCATCAACTCTGTGAGCTTCTGCTGTATGACAGGATGTTTCCTGCAATTCTAACCCCTGAAGATAAAATAAATAGTACTTGAGTTTATAATCATTCATTACACGGAGTACACTAATTAGTCTTTTATAGGCTCTCATCCTAAAAAGTATGGAAAATGACAAAAAAATTTCTTTAACTCAAGAGCTACACCCTAACTTAAACGTAATGGCACTTAACACATTTGATATTAGATAAATAAAAAATATTACTATTTTAAAACACAGAATAGAGATTACTAGAAATTGGCCAAACATTTATTAAGTATGAACATAATTTTAAAAGACTACATTTATAGTCAAGGCTGAAGCACATATTAAAAACTTTTAAATTGTGTGGTGCCTGTGGCTCAAGGAGTAGGGCGCCAGCCCCATATGCCAGAGGTGGTGGGTTCAAACCCAGCCCTGGCCAAAAACTGCAAAAAAAAAAAAAAAAAAAAAAAAACTTTTAAATTATAATTTTTTGTAATAAAAAAGTAAAATTGGAATTACACACTATGTTATGTGTCCTTCCTTCCCAACTTTATATGAGACTAATAGCATTATTCTATTGTACAAAGATGCCACAATTTGTCATTCTGTTCTAATACTTTTATGGTAACATAATAATACAGATTTTATTTGATTATTGTCTGTGTCCTCCAATTACAATATAAACTCAATAAAACAGTTTTTTCTTGTTTACTACAATATACCCAATGCCTATACCAATACCTGGCACACATTAGGTATGCAACAAATACATGTTGAATAAATGAATATTATAAATAGGTTCTTCTATGACTCTTTAAGCACATTTTGAGTACCTCCTTAAAAAGAATAACTTGAAGAGGATGTACCAGGTCACTGTTTTCTACATGATTGCTATTTATTTATATATTTTTGCAAGACTATCTGCACATTCAGAACATATTTTTAAGGAGTGTTTCTACCAGGTACTGGCACATACCTTGACTAGGTCATCTACTCTCTGCAATTCATTTTCTCTCTCTTTCAAAGAAAAATAATCCAGCACATAGGGTTAGGAAGATTAGACTAAGTTCTGTAAACTTTAAAGTGTTATATAAATCTTAACAGATGGCATAGCTTACCTGCTTGTCTTTAAAAAAAAAAAGTCACCAAAAAAAGTGTATTTTTAAACCACATATGTCATAGAGCACAAAAGGCCAATAAAAAGATCTACATTATTTGGTTATTATTAAACCATACCATTTTCTAAATAGAATAAAATAAAGTTACCAAAATGTCCTTAGTCATTCTCATACTTGTAATGGCTAGACAAGAGCAGAAGGGGGTCAGAATCATGTGAAACACAGATTGCTGGGCCCACCCCCAGAATTTCTGATTCAGTAGGTCCAGGGTGGGGCTCAAGAATTTTAACAAATTTCTAGGAGACAGTAATAGTATTAGTCTAGGGATTGCATTTTGAGAAACACTGGACTAAAGGGACATATTTTTAGTCACCAGAATTTTATTCAATCTGTGCCAAGACAAAAAAAATCACTCATTCACTAGTCATTCAACAAATATTTGTTAAAGGCCTATTTTGATGCAGGAAATACTTCTGACAGAAAAAAAGATCCTGATGCTTGTGACATTTATATTAAAGAGTGAGGAATATGGGCAATCAATGATAAAACTAAAGGTACAGTAAAGCAAGGTAAGGGGGAACTGAGATTGCTAGGACAAGAGTGGGAGTCTAATTTTAAAAATGATGGCCACACGTGATCTCATTACAAAGGTGACATTTGCGCAAAGACTCATAGGTAGTGAGGAAGTTAGCTATATGGATATCCGAAGGAAGAAGAGTTCCAAGCGGAGGGAATAGCCAGTAGCCTAGAATAGAGTGAGAGTTAAAGTAACAGAGAAGGCCAGAAAAGAATAGGGAGCCTGACCATTTAGGGCCTTATAAGAGACCCACTATAGGTTTTTGAGTAGAAAAGTAATATAGTCTAATATAGATTTTAAATATCATTCTGATTGACAACAGAGTATAGGGGGGCATATGGGGAAACAGGGAGATCAATTAGGACTAAAGCAATTACCCAGATAAGGGATAAAGATGACTGAGACCAGGGTGGTAAAAAATGATGGGATATAGAATATGATTGAAAGGTGGACCAACAGGACTTCTTATTAGACTGGATGTGCTATATATAAACAAAAAAGATGTCAAATAGGACTCAAGTATTCTTGGCCTGAGCAACCAGAAGGATAGTTATCACTAAGGACTACTAGGCTTTGGGGCACTCTAATGATAAGATGTCAAAGAATAGATAAGCAACCACCAAAGTAGGTCAACAACAACAACAACAAAAAAAACAAGTGAAGACATCAACTGTGTCAAATGCTGTTGACAGGTCAAGTAAGAGTGGGTCTGAGAACTGATCGCTGGATTTAACAACATGGCGGTCATGGTAACCTCAACAAGAGCAGTTTGGTGGAGTCAAAAACTGAAGTTGAAGATAGAATGGAAGAAATAAAATTGGAGATATGATAATAACCATCTCTAATCAGGCATTTTCCTCTTCAGGGAAGGAGGGAAATAGGGTATAGCCAGTAGGAGCAATAGAATCAGAGACAGTTTTTATTGAGATGTTTATTTCATATAGGAGTTAAAAAATAATACTGATTCAGGCAAGCATGGTGGCTCATGCCTATAATCAACACTTTGAGAAGCTGAGGCAGAAGGATTACTTGAACCCAGAAGTTCGAGGCTGCTATGAGCTACTACATATGGTATTTCACCACTGTACTGTACAACAGAGTAAGACCTTATCTCAAAAAAAAAAAAAATTACTGATTCACACTTTTGAGATCGGGATAAAAGACTAGAGGGAAAGAAGAGAATATATTTGGTTACCATGCTCTATTATATAACCAACATTAGTCTACTTATCAATATGTGCTTATTGAAATACACTTTTAAAAAGCTATTAAGTGTTCCAGGTGTAACCGGTTAACATTTTATGCTTGTACTATAAAAAGAGAGGTTTCAATGCACACTGACCTTGATGTTAATACAGCAGTAAGTATAGCCATGTTCTAGAATCATTATCCATATTAAACGATCCTGAAAACGTCCCAAGTAATGAGACCCAGGTGAGAGAAGGCCTATAACAAATTAAGAGACAAAAAGAAGATAATAATTTTTCAAGTTTCTTTAATTTTGCCATGTGAATCTTCAAAAATGATAACACAACTAGAATTGATTCATGACTCCTTCTACCCTCTTGTTAGGTCAAGAACAGAAAAACTATTCATTGTACAGCAAGAGGCATTGAATTAAGCATTTTAAAAGGCAGTTAGAAGAGACATCTACAAGTGATAATACATAAAAAATCAAGAATGTATTTTCTAGAAAAAACAAAAAAATTAAAAACTTGTACAGAATAAAATCTGAAATACATGTTAAACATATTAGGAAATATATTAATTATATAAATGCCTATTTCACATTAATTATATATAAAATTGGATTTTTTATATATATGTACATAAGTGTTTTATGGTTTTAAAGTTTACAAATACTATCACAGTGTCAGATACTTTTAAAACTTAGTTTTTCTTTCAATACTATAGTCTGTCTACACAATGGTCATATCTACTGCAAAAAGCTAAGTTAATTCATTGTAACTGCTGTTAAAAATTCACTGTATAAATACAGTTGAAATTGAGTATTTATTTCCTGGTTGAGAACATTTCAGATGTTCTGGTTTTCACTATCATAAATAATGCTGCAGAAATTATCTTTGCACAAGCCTACATGTACAACATGTGATACAGAAAAAGAGTTAACATAGTAGGATGGACTGCTATTTTTTGAAAGGCTTGCATAAAAGATTGGTTTGGGGGACTACCCTAACTGCTAAGACCCTCTCACTGTGTCTGTGCAAACATTACAGTATATTGAGCATGTGTTTTCTTTTGGGGAGACTAGAATATTGGCATGTGATAGGCAGAGAGTGCCAACATGACTGGCCCATAAAAAAATCCCTGGACACAGAGTCTCAAATGAGCTTCTCTGACAGTTAACATATCACACATGTCACAACTTGATGCTGGAGAACGGAGCATGCTCTGTGTGACTCCACTGGCATAGGACTCCTGGAAGCTTGTGCCTGGTCTCCTTTACCCCAAGTGACTTTTCCCTTTCCTGCTTTTGCCCTGCATTTTTTGCTATAATAAATCTAAACTGTGAGTCCTCCTAGGGAATCATCTAACCTGTGGGTGGTCTTTAGGACCATCAGAACATGTTCAGGACCATCAGAACATGTACTAGAGTTGTTCTAGAATTGGAATCACTGGATCATAGAATTGAAAACTGAAATTCCAGAGCCATGTACATCTTTACTACAGAGCACCTATTTACTTTGTCAAGGCGGTTGTATGAATTTATATTCCCTTCCAATAGAATTTGAAAGTTCTTGTCCCCTATTTCCTGGCCAAAATTCGTAGTGTCAATTTTTTTCATTTTTGCCCATTAGATGCAAATGTAATGTTACCTCCTTTCCTTTCTTCCCCACCAGAAAATACTTCACAGCAATATACTGGTTGAGTACAACTGATTTGATAATATATAATTTTTGCCTTATTACCATTTCCTGATATGAGTTTAACTGCACAGGTGTTTTTTTTTTTTTTAAAAGTAGTACAGCATTATATGATGTACGGATAAAATTACTAAAAACACAGAATATTTCCTTCAAGAAAGAAAAATTTTCACTATAAATTTTTTTTCCCTAAATTAGCTCACATAATACAGGTAATTAGAAAAGTTCAACCCAAGAAAGCATTTTATTAAAATTATAATCTTAAATTGCTACTAAGTCTAGAATCAGTTTGCATGGAAATCATCTGCCATTTCCAAAATAAGTTTCAGGGTAAAGCCCATGGTAGGAGCTGACACACAATTGTCACCAGCTTGTACCTTATCTAAAATCAACCCTGAGAAGTACATTGCCAGTTGAAATTTGACAGTAGTATGCAATAAAAGCATTTAACCTCATAAAATTTGTTCATTCCCTTCAAAAATCTGCATTCTTGCTAATACTTGCATAGCACCTCCCACTGGGAGGCTACCCTACAGATTTCTGAGCAAAGTTTTTATGTTATCTTGCCCAGCAACCTTAACCTTAACAGCCTGCTAAACTCTCTATACAGTAACTACTGAGATAGGAACAAAACTTTCATATATACTCTTCCAATTTGATATTTTGTAAGTCTAGTTTTCACTCATTATAGATCTAGTTGCTATGAGCTCATTATAAATTCATGGATATCTTGGGGAAAGGTGTTTTCACGTTTCAATGGCAGGACTATAATCTGACTTTATTTAAGAAAATGCATTTAAAAAGTTGTCAAGTCACCTCAATGAAATTTTCCCTTAGTATTTTTATAACTTTATTTACCTTAAAACAAGGAATGGGAGATATATTTCTATTTCCTACTTAGTTTTTCTTAGTCTATACATCAAAGTGTTATGGTTGTTATGCTGTTTTATGATTGGTTGAAAAGACAGTTATTATGTGTGTTCTTTTCTTTTTTTCTATTTGAAATACATTAGTGAGGATTTCTTAAGCACAACCCATTTACTTACCTAAACTTCCAGCTGCCATTGCAGCATGCAGGGCAGCAGTCAGTCTAGGGATCATCTGGTAATAGTACACTGTGTCTGCACACACACAGGCGGTGGCGCCCACTGCTCCTGGCCAACTCTGAATAGGCCGGGGAAACCCCACCAAGAACACAGGAAGGGTGAAGAGGGGTAATAAAGGAGAAGAGAGTAGTGCAGATAAAACTATGAGTGCCAACACAAGTGGAGAAAAAACAATGTTGAGTGCCCATAAAGTCGTAGTTCCTTTTCGACGTTGTTTTTTTTCTGTCCATGACGTTAAAAGTAAAGTCACTGCAAATTGCAATTTAGAGATGAATTGGGTCAAACGATCACGTATGATACCAACCTGCAGAGATATAAAAATGGATTTTATTTATTCTTAAAGACTTCACAAATTCTCAAGATCACATAAGAAAAACTACTAATTTTATTATTCTAGTATTTTTAAGGAAAAAGCCCTTATATTTTTGGTTATAATTTTCTCCAACTTCACAATAAATAAGACCACATTTGAAAGTCTGGGATTTCTTTGAAAAGGAAAAAGTCACACTAAGGAGAACTGACAGTGTATGAACCCTTAAGGCAGACCTATATGACAACAAATTAGATGTAGATGAAACTAACAAGTTCCTAGAAAGGCATACATTATTGAAACTGACTCAAGAAGAAATAAAAAATCTGAATAAACCTGTAACAGGAGATTAAATTTGTAACTCAAAAACTACCCACAAAGAAAAGCTGAGGCTCAGATGGCTTTAGGACTTTGAAATACTACAAACTATAAAACATTAAGATATACATTGAACAGTACAAAACATTTAAGAATAATCAATACCAATCCTCCACCAACTCTTCCAGAAAATAGAAGAGTATGGAATTGTTTCTAACTCATTTTATAATACTGGCCCTACCTGGATACCTAAACCAGACAACGACATCACAAAGAAAGACACACACACACATACACATTTTATGAATATAGACAGACAAAATACTAGCCAACCAAACCCTAAAACAAATAAAAATGGTTAAATACCATGAACAAGTGAGATTTATTCCAGGACAACAAAGTTGGTTTAATAATAAAAAATCAATCAACATATTAATATGCTAATACATTAAAGGACAAAACTACATGTTTTTTTTTTCAATTTCAAATTAAAATGAGGGTGCAAATTTTTAGGTTACATTGTTCTCATTTCCAAGGTAAAGTTCAAGTTCCAGTTGAGCTGAACACCTTCCCATTATGCACATTAGGTGAAATCCTGCCAATCGCCCTTCCCTGTTCTCCCTCTTCTCCCCTTCCCCTTGCTAGACTACATTTGTATTTTATCATTCATATGGGTAATTGTTTACATATTTGTCTTCATACTAGTATTGAGTACATTGGATATATTTTTTCCATTTTTGAGAAAATTTACTGAGAGGAATGTGTTTCAACTCAATCCAGATAAACATAAAAGATGTAAAGTGTCCATCTTTTCTTATGGATGAATAGCATTCCACAAAACTACATGATTTTAATAGACACAGAAAAAGCATTTGACAAATCCAATGCTCCTCATGACAAAAACAATTAACTGAGTAATAAAGGAAACTTCTTCAACCTGGTAAAAAATCCTTAGCTGATACCATACTTAATGGTAAAAAGACTGACATCTTTAACAGAGAAGGACTGAATGCTTTGCTCGTAAGATGTCCCTCTCACCACTTCCATTCAACATTATACTACAGTTCTCACTGTTGCAATTAGGCAGGAAGAAAGAAAGGAGAGGCATATAGAATGGACAGAAAGAAGTAAAACTATCTCTTATTTGCAGATCATGACATGATCTTAATATATAGAACATCCTAACAATCCACTATTAGGTTCTAATAGAATCCGTTAGAACAAATAAATGAGTTCAGTGAGGTTTCAGGATACCATATTAATATAAAAAATTATATTATATACTTTAGCAACAAATAAGCCAAATCACAAAACTAAAAAGACAACTCCATTTATAAAATCAAGAGGAATAAAACACTTAGGAATAATTTAATAAAGGAAGTATAAGACTTGTACACTGAAAAAACAAAACATTGTTGAAATAAATTAAAGATCTAAATAAATGAAAACGGTTGAGTGCCTGTATCACAGCCCTGTGCACTGGGGTTGGTAGGTTCAAACCTGACCCAGGCCTGCCAAACAAAAATAAATAAATAAATGAAAAGACACCTCATGTTCATGGATTGGATTTTTAAGATGGCAGTATTTCCCAAATTGATCTGCAGATTCAAGGTATACCTATTAAAGTCCCAGAGGCCTTTTTTGCATAAACTGACAAGCTCAAACTAATACTTATAGGGCAATTTAGGGTCCTAGAAGAATCAAAATATTTTTGAAAAAGGAGAACAGAGCTGGAGGATTTACACTACCTTACTTCACAACCTACTATAAAGTCATAGTAACCAAAACAGTATGGCAGCAGCATAAAGACACACACACAAATGAATAAAAGAGAACTCACAATCATCTATAAGTAAACATTAACATTTCTGGTCATTTAATTTTTGACACAAGTACCAAGAAATGTCACCAGGGAAGAACATTCTTTTCAGTAAATGGTGCTAAGACAACTGTACATTTATATCCCAAAGAATAAATATGGAACCTCACGTCATATACAAAAGTTAACTCAAGGCAGACCACAGACCCCCACATAAGAGCTAAAACTATAAAACTTTCAGAAGAAAACACAGTAACTAGTGTTTGTCAGATATGACACCAAAAACACAAGTAACAAAAGAAAAAATAAATTAAACTTCACTGAAGTTAAACACCTTTATGTTTCTAAGGACATTATCAAGAAAGAAAAAAACAACCTACAGAATTGGAGAAATTTTGTGTATATTATATGTCTATCAAGGGACTTTTATCTAGAATACAAAAAACTCTCAAAACACTAGCCTGTAATTCTAGCATTCTGGGAGGCCAAGGCAGGTTGATTGCTTGAGCTCACGAGTTCAAGACCAGCTTGAGCAAGAGTAAGAACCTGTCTTTAAAAATAGTTGGGTGTTGTGGTGGGCACCTATAATCCCAGCTACTTGGGAGGCTGAGGCAGGAGGATCACTTGAGCCCAAGAGTTTGAGGTTGCTATGAGCTATGATGCTACAGCACTCTACACTTGCCTACTGAGAGCAACAAAGTAAGATTCTGTCTAAAAATAAAAAACTTTCACAACTCAATAATAAAAAGGCAAATAACTCAAAATAAAATGGGCAAAAATTTGAACAGACATTTGTCCAAAAAAAATATATATATAAATGGTCCACATATGCATGAAAAGATGCAGCATTAGCAAGCAGAGAAATGCAAATCAAAATCACAATGAAGTGGTAGGTCATACCCACTAATAGGGCCATAATGAAAACACTAGGTGATAAATCTTACAAAGATAGGGAAAAACGGGAATCTTTCTATGCTGCTGCTGAGAATGTAAAACGGTGCAGCCACTTTGGAAAACAGTTTTGGAGTACTCGGAAGCCCTAAACATGGAGTTCCTACATGACCAGAAATTCCAGTCCTACTTATTTAGACCCAAGAGAAATGAAAATATATCATCATACCTAAATGTGTACACAAATGTTCACAGAGATATATCTTCTTAATAGTCAAGGAGGGAAACATATACATTTATCATCTGATAAATAAAGTTCATGTGGATACCACGTATCTATAAAATGAGATATTTGGCAATAAAAAAGAATCAAGTACAGTCACGCATCACTTAATGATGGGGATATGTTCCAAGAAATGCCTCATTAGGCAATCTTATCATTGTGTAAACATCATAGAGTATACTTAAACAAACCTAGACAGTATAGCCTGCTACACACCTAGGTCCATGGCTCCTAGGATACAAATCTGTGCAGCATGCTACTGTACTGAATAATGTAGGCAACTGTAACACAACAGTAAGTATTTATGTCTATAAACAAATATAGACGCAGACAAGGTACAGTAAAAATATAAAATATAAAGAATGCCACATTTGAATATGGCACTTACTGTGCATAGAGCTTTCAGGATTGTAAGTTGCTCTGGGTAAGATACTAAGGGAGTGGTGAGTGAACATCAATGTGAAGGCCTAAGACATTATCATGCACAACTGCAGACTTTTATGAATACTGTACACTTAGACGACCCCAAATTTATAAAAATGACTTTTCTTTCTTAATTAAGTTACTTTACTACAACTTTTTTACTTTACAAACCTTTTCATTTTAAAGAACTTTTTGACTTTTTTGTAATGACACTTAGCTTAAAATGTAAATACATTGTACAGGTGCACAAAAATAATTTGTTTATATCCTTATAAGCTTTGTAACTTTTAAAATTTTTATTCTTTTAACTTTTTGTTAAAAACTGAAACACAGGCTTGGCACCTGTGACTCAAGTGGCTAAAGCGCCAGCCACATACACCTAAGGTGGAGGGTTCAAATCCAGCCCGGGCCTGCCAAACAGTGACAGCTGCAACCAAAAAATAGCCAGGTGTTGTGGCGGCTGCCTGTGGTCCCAGCTACTTAGGAGGCGGAGGCAAGAGACTCGCTTGAGCCCAGGAGTTGGAGGTTGCTGTGAGCTGTGATGTCACAGCACTCTACCCAGGGTGATAGCTTGAGGCTCTGTCTCAAAAAAAAGAAACAAAACTGAAACACAAACACACATTAGCCTTGGCCTGCACATGATCATTGTATCACTGTCTTCCACCTGCACATCCTGTCCCACTGGAAGGGCTTCAGGGGCAGTACTCCTGAAGTCAGTATCTCCTATAGAACAACACCTTCTTCTGGAACACCTCCTGAAGGACCTGCTTTAGGCTATTTAACAGTTAACTTTTTTTTTTTTAATAAGTAGAAGTATACTCTAAAATAAAAATGAAAAGCATGGTATAGAAAATACATAAAGCAGTAATACAGTCATGTATTATCATTATGAAGTATTATGTACTGTAAACAACTGCATGTGCTATACTTTTATATGACTGCCAGTATAGTAGGTACATTTACATGCGTATCACCAGATACTTGTGTATGAGGGCTACATCACTAGGGGGCATAATTTATTGTCTCATGAGACCCCCATTGTATATGTGGTTTGTCATTGACTGGAACATCATTTCTCAGCACATGACTATACTGATACATGCTATATGATATATCATGGATGAACCTTAGAAACATATAATGAAGGAAGCCAGATGCAAAAGACCACATACTGCATAATTCCATTCATGTGAAATGTCTAGAATAGGCAAACACATACAGACAAAAAATAAATTAATGGTTGCTGGGATTATACTATGTGGCAGGTCGGATGGAGAAGAAGAGTGAGGAATAACTATTAAGGTACACAGGTTTCATTTGGGGATATTGAAACTATTCTGAAATTGGCATGTGATGATTGAAAAATTCTGAATAAATCCCACTAAATGGTAGACTTTAAATGGATACAATTTTACGGTACGTGAAATGTTATTTCCATAAGTTTTTAAAAAGCACATTTACCAGTAAGAGTCTGATTCCAGTATCCAGGCTTCTGTTCCACCATAGGTCTGCACTAGAGATCAAGTGCACTACTGACACAACGACTATCTCCAGTAAAGCATTCTCTGTATTCTGCCATACCTGCAGTATACAAATATCCCCTTTAATTAGGCAGAATTTGATAATTTAAGCAAACTACTAAACAAAATCACAATTAAATTTAGTAAAAGAAAAATACTATTAAATACATATTAGGATTACCATTCTAAAAGCTCTTGTGAATCCAATAGAGACAGACACAGAGTGGAGCCCTTGTAAGGAACTGTCCAATGAAAGAAATGCTATCATAGCAAAAGGTGACACTAAAACAGACAAACAAACAAAAACAAACAAAAAAGGAGACAAATTTAATTAAGGCAAAGTAATCCCTTCTAAAAATTTTATCTGGCAAATATTTCTTTTGAGCACATTTAATTAAAAAAACTAATAAAAACCAAAAGAAAAAACACTTATGTGAAGTATTACACAAATATTGGAATCCCATAATATTTTTGAACACTTTATAGATATTATTGATAAGTTTAGTAGATTTTATCTTCCTACCTAGAGTCAGCAAAATCCTCCTGGCAACACCAATCTTCAGGAGCCTTTTTTGCTTCCTTAAGAACACAGTGACAGCTTGCACATCCTTCGGATAGAAAGGGTTTCGGAAAATTCCAAAGATATACACACTTTGAATTTCTCTAAGTATCCACACTATTATAAGTAAAGTCATCAAAATATAGCCAAAAATAACCTGGGAACTGCTTCTGGAAATCTGTGAGAAACCAGCAAAGTGATGAAGCAAACTAGTTTCTAAGAGAGCCAAGATCAATACTATGATATAGAAAAGGCATTCCTTCTGCATAAACTGTTTTTCTAAAGTCTTAGGTTTGACTCTAACTTTGTGTCTAGCCATACTGCGTTTGAAGGCAAAAGCCATGTCAGTTAGGTTAAGACTTAGTAAGAAACCAACTCCAGCCATGAAAAGAACCACACCAGTGGTGCTAGGAATGAAATATGATGTTACAGCTGTTCCAGCAGAAATGACGAACATCACCAATAACCTGCAGGGGAAAAGGAGAAAAAAATATTTACTTTTAAAACGTTCTTTAAGAATAAATTACATATTACATCAACATTTTTAAATAATTACCGTAGGTGGTTTGACATAGATGAGCCTCCAAGGCCAAACTCTAAAACTTGCTCCATTGCCCATAAGAAAAGTGCATCAGGTGGGGGCAGAATCCCACCTGCCCACAGAAAGGGTAAAAATATAAACAAGACGTGTAGAATCTGATTCGTCTGTTTTAAAGCTGGTATATTTACCATACACCTATAAGGAAAAAGAAAACATTTAAATCATACAAAGTAATATATAGAAAAGGATCTTTCTAGAAAAGCAAAACAATGAAGAATAACACACACCCCAAAACAAAACAAGGAAACACAGAATGGACCCAATCCTATTTATAAATGATCAACACATATAAATTGTGACCACTGTCCTTCCCCTTATACCAGGAATTACCCCTACTCAACTGTGTGCAAGCTTCACATTCAGAGAATACGTGAATTCAAATGTGCAAAGAAGTAATTAAAAAACATCATTGAATAGTAAGAAACTGAACACAGGGATATGTAAAACTGAACTGAGGCCAGAGCAGAAGTATTTCTCCCCTAAATGTCTAAACTACATTGGGTAGAGTTAGACAATGATTCTTAAAAAGTGTAAAATTTTGTAATTTGAAATTGCAAGTAACTTTGGAAAGTCAAAGCTTTACATTCACGTGTTATTATCTGGCCAAGACAGAAAGCTCTTCTTCCCCCTAGTCTCTCCTGTATTTTCCTGCTCCCAAGACCCAGAATTTGAAGTCAGTGTTATCAGAAGTGAGCTATTTAGGTTATGACTGATTTCTGTGGCTAAACTTAGGAATTAACTAGCATTTATAATACTATTCTGTTTTTACAAGCAAAGGAATGGATTTGAGAACACAAATCTGTACAATATGGTCTCCTCATTAAGTAGAGAATGCTTTTACCTTAGGTGGAGAAACTGATAACTGGTATTGTATTTACCTGTCAAATACAACCTCATTAAATTGTTTCAAATAATTTAATAAAATTTGAAAGCACAGAAGAATAAAAATTATCAATATATTGCTAATTTTCTTTTGAATGAGAGTAACCAGACACCGTATCCAGAGACGAACAAGGTCAGAGTACTTACGGAATTCTAAAGGTAACTTTCCAAAGAGACAACTAAATCTTAGAACTTAGAAGTAGCCTTAAATACTGAACTGCTAGTTAAAGCTGAGGAAAAAGACTTCTGTAAGCTATCTTAATCTTACACTTCTCCACGTGTGTTGACAGCCAAGAGCAAATGTATAGCAACTGTGGATATAATACAGTGAAGGCATAATGTGTTTGTTCACAAGTCCTAGAACTAAACTAGCTAACGTTCTCTGCCTCATAATGTATGTCCCTCAAATTTTATAAGCAGACAGTAAATGACCACAAGGTCTACAAAGTGATGCTAAAATACAATGTGATGTTCTATCAACTTATTTCCAAATAAAACTTAACTTCATTCATTCTGAGAAGAAGTAACAAAAATCAAGAAATCAAATCACACATAAAAAGCCACAGGAACGTCAAAGAAAACCTGCTGGTTTGTATATTCTTTTTTTTTAAACCCTCAAATAACACCTCTTTTGCAAACATACTCAAGAACGAGATAATTTTACCCAAATTAGACTCTAAAATTTCTTTTTGTCAAACAATTAGCTATGTCATGGTATTTACATACTAGGATATACATAAATTAATATAAGCATATGTAACTGAAGTGACCAAATGCTGTCATTATAATCCTATATATAAGACTCAGCCCCAAACAAAGGCTTATTGTGGTTAATTTTTTAATATGGAAAAATGTTTAAATCTGAATGTTTCTGATAATGTAACATGAATTTTCTAGGGTTAAAAAAATATTACTCCTTATGAAAAAAAATATATGCTTTGAGATAAACAAGTCTAAAAATATTTCAGCTGGGCATGGTAGCCAAGGCTTAGGAGGCTGTGGTGGGAAGAATGCTTGAGCCCAGGTAATCTAGGTTGCAGTGTACTGTGACTGTGCCACGGTACTCCAACCTGGGTGGCAACACAAGACCTTGTCTTCGGGTAAAAAAAGAAATTTCAAATTCTGCCCACTAAAATCCATATGCCAAGAAAAAAGATGTTTTTTATACTGGCTTAAATAATGTAAATGTTGTATTATTCATTCAAACAATCTCAGAGAATCTTTTAGTATTGCAATGTTTGTCTTACAAAAATACACAGAAAAAGTCATTTTAAATTGTTACGCAACTGCACTGTATAAAGAATGAGGAAAGAAAAGATTACTACACAGTGGGGCTCATTTCTTCATCTTTCTTTTACATCCTCTGAAATAAAACTAAGCAGCAATCTGATAGATCCAACAACTGTTTAAATTTGAAGAGTGCATGCACTTCCTGTATCACTTGGCAGCAGTATCACACCTCTATATAATCGTTATTCTAGTTCTTTATTATATGTTAATCATAAGCTAAAATTTTCAAAAAGTGAGATGGGAGATAATTTTTTTTAGGTAGTCACTGTCTTCTTTAAAAATAGATGTGAGAATGTCCTTTGTATCTTTCATCATAGTAAAAGACTTTCACTTAAACATTAAAACTGTATATTAAATCCAGTAAGAATTTACTAAAAAATGTTTATGCACTTTTACATCAAAACAAACAATGCAGAAACTGAATTAAAAATTAACTAAGAGGGCGGAGGCAAAATGGCTGACTGGAGCCAGCTTTCCACAGAGGCTCCCATCCAGAAGGAGAGTTAAGGGACAAAAGTTTAGCAAATAAGCTGATGGTTTTAAGCTGAGCCAAGAGAGAAGGTTGAAGAATGCACATCAACCCTGCTGAGGCAAGCTGCAACCCCAAGGAAACAAACAATAGGTACAAAATCCATCACCAAGCGGATGGGAGTTGCCTCCCCCAAAAGAACAGCTCACAGTATACTTTCTCCAAATAAGCAAGCAGAGTTCAAATGTCCTCCCATTTTATCCCACAGGATAGACTGTCTAAACACCAGAACTCCTTCCCCTACTAGTGTCTCATAGTAATCTCCTGCCAGGCATGAAACTATATAAAACTGTATATATTGTCTACTTGCAATTCTGAACTCCCAGCACTCCCCTCCACTCTCACCCCCGAGGTCTGGAAGCCTGTCCCCCATGGAGTCCAGATTCTTTTGCATTTTCTCAAGAGGTGTGGACAAAGTGTGGGCTGTTGCAGGTCTGTGCTGATTCTGCGGCACAGGTGTAAGAAGATAGTGCACTGAGGGAACCATATGGGAGAGGGGGTACCCTATGGCACAGAAAAGCAGCAGCAGTCGGGGAACAAGAGGCTCATCCCTAGGGATATTTTAGAGAGACACTCCCTGCCTCTTTGGGCAACCAGAGAAGCTGGGCATCTTCTCCGGTGGCAGCCACCGGAGGAACAGATGGAAACACAGGCCCTGTGAGCAAAGGGTATGCCTGAGGTGGAACCTGCCAGGGTGGGGCACAGCAGGGATGGAGACTAGAATACACACAGGCAGAGATGGCATACTCCCAGGGCAGGGTTGAGTCAGAAGGACTGCTTTAGTGAGCCTAAAAAGCACCTCACCCCCAGGGGATCATAGCTGAGACAAAAGCAGGCAGGGAGAGGCAGGAACTAGGAGCCAAGTGTGAGCTCTAACCATGTCTGCCCCGACACAGAGTGCAGCGAAGACAGACACGCCAGCTCCAGGTAGCGGCACAGACCGTAACTGAGTTGCAGTTTCTGTGAACTCAAACGGCACCTGGTCCTCAGGGGAATATAGCTAGGACAGAAACACAAATTCTACAAAAAATTTTCGTGTGAGCATCTCAATCAGGGGCAGTGCTGGAACTGAGTGAACCACACCAGCTTCCATTAAGCACCCAAGGTTGTCAGGCCTCAGCTCCCCCTGCTGGATGGTGGCAGAGTAGGGTGCCCTGACCAAGGAGACATAGCTCTCTCTCTGACTCAGGCAGGCACAAACCCCTGGAGCATCTCATTGGAGGGAACTAGGTCATAGCCCTGTGGGGTTACCAGTGACTGGGTGTGACAGAAGTGCAAGGTGGAGAAGGAGGCATTAACTTTCCCAGACGAATTCATTTGCTGAGGGGGGGGAATGTCCAGCTGACTGCACAAAGCACCAGAGTGAATCATACTTGAACTGCCAGTAGACCCCTGCTATCCAGTTGCCAGAGACCTTTTGACTCCCTCACTTGAGAACAGGTGCTGACTGGGACAAATGATTTGGATCTCTTGAACTGGGCCAATCACCCGAGAACTATTCAAAGTGGTACCCTGGGTGTGGTTATGAGAAGGTTTGATTTTCCATTTCCAGAAGTTGAACATGGGGAGGAAGGGTGAGATTTCAACCCAGAGTAACTGATTCACTAGGGTAGGACAGAGACTAGCTGAAAACAAGACAGAGCCACTTAGCCCCACCACACCAAGCAGACCCCTAGTATCTCAGGCTGTAGCACTGTACAGGTCCTTGGGAAAGCTCTAGGGGAAAAGGTACAGTCCCAGGTCCTGGTACAGTCCAAGGTCTTGGGCAAAGGGCTGGTTAATCACTACTCCAGGAGCCCCCAACCCAACTTCACCTTATCTGCTCATCTAGCCAAAGGGTGTAAAATAATCATGGGGCGGAATCAGCAGAAAACCTCTGGTAACATGAATAACCAGGGTAGATCAACTCCCCCAAGGAATGACATGGGAGACACAATAAAAGATCTCATTCATAAATAAATGGCTCAGATGTCAGAAATCGAATTTAGAATTTGGATTGCAAATAAGATTAATAAAATGGAGGTAAAGTTAGAATTAGAAATTCAAGGAGCATTTCAAAAGTTGTCTCAAGAATTTAAGGAATTCAAAGACAAAATCACTAAAGATTTTGACACATTGAGATAAGAACTTGCAGCCTTCAAAGATCTGATAAATACAGTAGAATCCCTCATTAACAGTATGGAGCAGCCAGAAGAAAGGATTTCTGACACTGAAGACAAGGCTTTTGAATGCTTCCAAACACTGAAAGAGGAAGGGAAGTGGAGAGCAAAATGGATCATTCTCTCAGAGAGCTGTAGGATAATTTGAAAAAAACTAATATTCGCCTTATAAGAATTCCTAAAGGTGACAAGGTGGCTTCAAAAGACACAGATGCTCTTCTTCATGAGATAATGAAGGAGACTTCCCACACATGCCAAGAGTACAACTCAACCCG